ATGCGGGCATCGATGCCCCCATCGATGCAGGCATCGATGCCTGCTCTTCTCCTGTTGCTGTCCGCAGAACTCTTGTATTTTGCTTTTGGGCTTGTGTCTTGGGCTTTGGCTTGGACTTTTGGGCTTGGCATTTTCTCTTGATTTTCCATTGGGCTTTGAATTATTTCTTCATTAAATATTTGAAAGAATTCCTTTGGCTTCATGGGCTTCATTTCTTCATTAAATCAAGGGGTTTTTGTTGAGATATTGGAGTTTGAGATTTATTCATCATTAACCTGCAATTAACAGATAAAAGCAATTATTAGTGGTATATTTATTCATATAAAATAGATAATGAGGGTATAAAAATTGTAATAAAATATGATTATCAGTATCCTAGTGTTTTGAGTTTGATCTCACCATGCGCAACTCCTCCTTTGAGACGATATGCTACAATCTTCACCTGTTTTGCTTCGGGCACATTAGTCATCTCAAAGAACTTCTCCACTTCGTAAAGTCAATCCAAGAAAGCCTCTATGTTCAGATTTTCTCCGAAGGAAGGAAGCTCTACCTTCATCCAATAGTCTTGGTCCTGATGATATCGGCCTAGTCGTTGGTAGTTGTGACGAGGGTTGTAGCCTCTACCCCGACCTCTACCATAAGGTCGATCTCCCTCTTCTTCGCTCGACATGTTATCATACCATGGCCATTCAAATTGGTTACCATAGTCCACTTTGTCGTCGCTGTAATCATCATAGGGAAGGGTTTGATTGGGAAGTCATCGATGATGTGGAGGGGGTTGATATGGAGGTGGTTGGTTTGGACGTGGTTGATTTTGAGGTGGATGAACTGGAGGGGTTTGAGGATTGCACGGGGGTGGATGTCGGGGTTGCCTAACTCCGGATCCGCCTAGGTGAAGACCGTCGGTGAAGTTATTCCCATTGTTGAGGTGAAGGGTAAGTCCTTCAAAGGCTTGTTGAAGGTTCTGAAGAGACGCCTCCAACGTGCCAAATCTTCCATCCATAGAACTCATCCTCACGGAAAGATCCTGTTGAGATAGCTCCTTCTCACCGTCACCTGCCATTGTGGAGGATGTTGAAGCCGAAGCTCTGATACTACTTGACACAGACGTAGAAATAAGGAGGCCGACCGGATATCATTCTGATACCGACGAGCCCTGACAATAGCAGGTAATTCATGAGCTTGAATCCAAAAGTTTTAAGTTTCTCAATTTTGAGAACGAAAACAAGGAGAAAATTTCTCTTGATTGAATAATTGAAAGTTAATTGTTTGATTTACAAAAGAAACTATTATATAAAGCCAAATAAATCTGTCCTAACGCTAATAAAAAAACTCTAATTCTAAAAGTAAATAACCAAAAACAAACTCTTTTCCTAATCTGTTTTTCAAGTCGACACAAGGCGTGCCAAGTAGTACCGCCTTTCGTGTCGATTGGACATGAGTCGACTAATGTCACGCCCCGCTTCCCAAAACCCGGGAATCGGAATGTGAGCAACCCACGACGTATTAGATTGAGAAGAAATATACGCTATTATTTTTTTTTTCTCAATCCAATACGCTAAGCGTCTGAAAATAAATACAATGCGAAGTCACAGGTCCCCGATCACAATCAACAAGAATATAATGACAATCCAGAATAAGAAATAAGCATATCATCCATGATAAATCATCCCGGACATAAAAATATGGGTTAAACGTACCCTTATTACAAAAATGGTCCAACTAAAAAAATAAGAAATACATAGTCCATAATGAAAGTATTGTTAAAATACTAAATCCATCATCAACTAGGGAACGGTACGGTAAAAAAGTTTTAATGTTCATCAGCTACTACAGAGGAAAACTACTGGGCTTCAGCTTATTCTTCCACTCCACCTGTAAGGCGCTCCTATTGAGAATCCTCAGGCTCCTGCACGATTCCGAACTGAGGCTGTCCGTCTCCTAAATTTGATGTACACCCAGAAAATAGGAGTACGTCAGCGTGTATAATACACGGCAAGATCCCCCAAGGCAGGAACAAATACAATAACAATATTGATAATATATGCGTGGTTAATGCGATAACAGAAATAGAAATAGAACATGTGATGATAGTAATAACGTTAGAGGCGTGCAACTGGAATACTAATAATCAAAAGAATCCAAAATTCAACCAAGTAACAAGACTATACAGGTAGCGATCAGAAACCATCCAAGCAACAAGGTCATACAATAGATGGAATTAATACTTAAAAATCTACACATCGAGACGTAGTACGTCGAGCGAAATAATCCAAACAAGGAAACCCTCATGTATATACCATATGTCTCGAATTATAAATAATTAAATATTAATTCCGATCTATGTATGGAGAGAATACAACCGATCTACGTCTCACAAGAATCACACTTAGCCAAGAATCTAAGTCATGTAACTAGTCATCCTACAACAGGTCACTGGCTCATATTATCGAATAACTGATAGATAGCAATCACAAATATCCCAACTCCTCAGACCCACCCCGGTGACTACACAAACTTCACCGGCGCGAGCCCGGAATACACAAATATCTCAACTCATCAGACCCACCCCGGTGACTACACAAACTTCATCGGCACGAGCCCGAAATACAACCAAAATCACAAACATCTCAACACCTCAGACCCACCCCGGTGACTACACAAACTTCACCAACGCGATCCTGGAAAATACATCAACAATCACAATCGTTCATATGGACCAAGACTTCTCACCCCAATTCTTATAATTCCAGGTCAACTACACACGAGATTCTAGATCCTAACTGTGTCATACAGGTCACTATAGTCATGTACTTCTCATGATTCTCAACATGAAATAATAAATGTCATTATGTTAAGTGTCAAAGTCATGAAGTGTGAACAGAGGACGTGATCACATGCAAGAAACATACGAGAGTAAAGCTACTATTAACAATGCAAGATGGAACTACCATTAACAGATGTTTTGCACACGAAAATCGAAATCTCAGCTATTAATTCCAAGAATAATTTCCTTTAAAATTATCTCTCATTATAAAAAATCTAAAATAATCTTTTTAAAATATATTTTATTATTATTTATGAACAATAATACTTTTAATTTTATAAATGATTTCTATCATATTTTATAAAATAATCTAAAATATATTTTTTCTCAAAATAAAATTCCTTTAATCATAACAATTATTCCATATTTTATAAAATAATCTAAAATATATTTTTTCTCAAAATAAAATTCCTTTAATCATAACAATTATTCAAAATACTTTTTACTCAAAATAACTTATCTCAAAATAAAATTCCTTTAATCATAACAATTATTCAAAATACTTTTTACTCAAAATAACTTATTTTCAAAATACCCCTTTAAATAATTTAAAAAATATCATAAATTTTATTTAAAATAAATATTAAAATTTATGGCTAAAATAATAATAACAATAACAATGATGAATAATTAACTATTTATTTAAAAATTTTATCAAAACAATTAAATTTATAATTAGCAAACCTTATTAAAATAACATAATATCGTATTTTTAAATCGTAAAAAATTCTAGAGAAATTGGAAAAAATACAAATACTCTTTTAGAAAAATTATATTTAATATTTAAATACCAGAAAATTATTTAAACCCGTATTGAAAATTTACGGTCATTACAACTAAGTATGTCGAGTGGTTCCGCCTTTCGTGTCGACTGGCATGTATCGACTCATCCTATCGCCTATCGTCTCATCCTGTCGCATGTCATCTCGTCCTGTCGCCTTGAGTCGTCTGTTCATCTCGATTGGGTTGCTTCGCCTCGAGTCATCAGCTTGACTCTCCTGGTTTGTTGTTGTCTCGTCTGGTTTGAGTCTCGTCTCGCCTCGTTCATCTGTTTAGTCAGCTCGTCATGCTTTTCAGTCGCCTCATCTCGTAGATCTCCTGTATCAACAATTTGTAATATTTTGTTTGTTTTAAGCTTAAATTGTAGCATTACCAAATGTTAAAATTTTGTAATATGATGAATATGCTATCTTGGTGAGGTTACCTACGATAAAAAGACAAAATTAAGATTTGTCAAAATCCTCGCCAATTGAGAGAATTTGGCAAAATCTAAAAATTGAGCACTTTTTGCACTTTTGGGATTCAATATTCTAAAAATTTTCTTAAAGCAAACAACATATATGGAGTCCCAAATACAAAAACTCACTTTTTGATACTAAAACTTGTATTCCATACCAAATGCCAAAATTTTTGGTGAAACAAACACCCCCTAAGACAATAACCATGATACCAATGTAGAAGCACCACTGCAAAAGCTCCTTATAGTAACAGTTAATTCATTAAACCGTTACTATTAAACCTTATTGAAACGGTTATTATCAAATCTGATTTTTTTTCTTTCTATTTGAAACAGTTATCAATTATATATCAATTAAATTAAAAGAACAATAAATATTTTTATTAAAATTAAGGTGGGAAACTAAATTTTGGGGGGCAAATAAAAATCAGGAAACTAAATAGGAAGCGGTGATTTCTCTCTCTCTCTCTTTGTAACCTCCGCTCCCAAAAAATAAACCCCTTCTATCTCACCTCCCTCTCCGACCTCTCATCGTCACCTCCGCAAGTCGATCTCACGTCATCACCTCTACAGATGCTCTCCCTGTAATTAAACCCCTCTGATCTCACGTCGTCATCTCTGCAGATTTCTCTCTCTTGTAACCTCCGCTCTCCCTCTAATTAAACCCCTCCGATCTCACCTCATCGCCTCCGCGCGATCGGCCCCAAAAAACTTCGGCCGCTCTCAAAAACTAGATTGACCCCTGATCCTCTGCTTGGCCTAACAAAGCTCCGCTCTAAAAGTGTTAATTGATCTCTGATCACGCCTCAAGACCACTGCTTTCCAGATCTTTGGGCGTCTATCCAATCGAGTCGTGCAATATCGTGGTTGCGTGTCTTCCCCTTTCCGATTTCTGGCAATTGCATGCGCTGATCACCTCACTCCACAAAGGTATTATGCACTTTCTTATTATTGTGATTAAGTTATTTATTCAATTTGTAAAAAATCCCCAATCTGATTTCTTATTAATGTGACCGTGGAGGTTTTTTTTGCTTTGAATAAAGTTCAGCGGATATATGCAATTAAGTATGATGTTTATATTGATCGTATTTTAGTAGATTATATTGATCTTATTTTAATAGATTATATTGATCTTATTTGTCGTCTTTACTTTTTTAGTTTTCCATCATATTAATGTTTCGCCCTTTGTTTCTTTTTATTCTGATATTTTCAATTGTCCTCAATTTGAATGATTAACTATTCATTGAATGATCACAGCTTAGCTTTAATTTATAGACACTGGACAATTTCAAAGGTAATCTAGCTTTATGGTGTTTGTTTATTTCACTCGGTTTAACATTTATGGAGTAAGTTTTCACTATTTTAATTTATTTTGAAGCAGGCTACGAGACTTGAAGCAATCAGGTAAACTTCATTTAATCTAACATTGGTTTCTGTATGTTACTTTTGATATTTCAACATAACTTGTAACAGGCTCGATGTAATCATACTAGAGGTATTGTTTTATGTGAATAATTTTCCTATCAACCTCCCACGCCCACCATTTTCTTGGTATATATCAGCATGAAAATAAAGTATCTGCCTTATAGAAGTAGTTATCACTTATAAAGAAAGAAGAAACATAAGAGTCTGGTTAAAAATTCTAACTTTGACAATGGCTAAAAGACATGTTTATGGCTCCAATTGATGTGCTAGCATGACCATTTTTGACACGCTTCTCTGAAAGGTTCTAGCCTTCTTGGTTGATCCCTTTCATTGTTATCGTGGATAAAAGTCTAGCTAGAGCCATTAATAACTCATATAAGGGCTTTGACGTCAATTTATGTGTCGTATGTAGAAGTAAGTTGATGTTGCCCTTTGCTTCAGTTTCCACATAGTACCGGAATTTTTTATGTACTACTCACCTAAACTATTCCTTTTAATAGAATTACTTATTTAGTTATTTTCTTTGTTATCCGTTTAACTGTAGATTTCTACACAGCAAAAAAGAGAAACATTTTCTATACGACATTGTTGCCAATGGTCGCACTGGGTTAGATAAATTTGACATTGTTGATGGATCAAGGAGAAATATGAAAGCCTGTACAAGGGCATTGGCAAAAAAGATGATATATCTGTCTTTTGTGCTCTATATGAAAGCGATGATGATGGATCCCGGAGTGTGTTCGCAAGATAAGCGTCATACAAAAGTGAAGATCGGCGGGCATGTTTGTGTTGTATTTTCCCAAGACTACACAAGATTTCGCAGTTGTCTACTAAAAGTTTGTGACCTTTTACTTCAAGCATTAATAAGTATTTTATTTCTTTTCTAATTTTCAGGAGGATATAAGAAGTGGAAAAGGTAGTGCACTTCAACTGAATGATCTGCTGCGTGGGCTTAGTCCATCTGACTATGTTCTTCATGCAATTTCCAATGTTCAGACAAATGATCTGGAGCGGACCCTACTGGTATGTAACTAAGTAGATCTTTTTACTGAATGTCATGGTTTGATTTTATCAATTAGTAAGCATAATGTTATCTCACTACTATAGAGGAAATACATCAGCATGATTGTCTATTGTTTTATGATGAATATTTTATTCTAGTATTTTACACTCCACATCTAATTTGCGAGCTTGTCTCTTGCTAGAATTGTGAACAAAATTACCAGGAGATTTTCTGTAGATCACGTTTACGTATATATGTGAAAACTAAAAAGTTTGCTTTTTAGCTATCATTTATTTTTGTACTTCCCTTTATTTTCTGTGTACGTGTGTCTGTTTGTATCTGTGTAGCTGAATCTGTTATATTTATAAGTTAACATTGTCTCATACATGCTTGTTTGAATGTATGTTTCTCCCCTCTTTGTGTATAGACCTGTGTGTCGGTGTGTGTTAGTGAATTGGTGTTAATGAATTGGGTGATAAGTGATAGATATCAAGGTATCTTTTTGCACACATATACAGTATGATGTACTCAGACGTGCACCTCTTACATTTTTTTCCTTAAATCAGAAATTCAAATAAAATGTATATTTCACTGTGATTAATCTATTCTGTATTGTGCTTTTGTAATTACTAGAGCTGTTGCTGTATATTTCCCTTTATTAAGACTTGCTCTGAAGGAGTGAATGGAGGACTGAAACTGTTGTAAAGGCATCAGGCCTCTCTTTATTTTGACAGTGAGTTAAAGACCTTAAATTTGTCAAAACATTTAGTCCCATTGCTTCCCTAGTTTCTCTGTATTTCATGAGGTGATATTTACTTGTTTTGATGTTCTGCTTCAAGCCTCTAGTAATGACAATTGGTAGTAGATGTGCAGTGAATTAAAGTGACAACTACAACAGACATGTCTTTTAGCGACCAACTTTTTTGCGAGAAATTATTTTTCCTCAACAATTATCACTTTCGACGAGGAAAATATTATTTCCTCGGTAAATATCAGTAGGTCTTCTATGAGGAATATATGTTACTTACAGTAGACCACCTTCTACGATGAAAGTTTTAGTTCCTCACTAAAGATGATCATGATTTGGTCTCCTAACTAGTTATTTTATTGGCGAGGAAATATTAGATTTTGGTGATAAACTTTTTTTATCACGAAATGCACATTTAACGAGGAAATAATCATTTCATCGTTGTTCTTTTGGTAGAAAATGGAGGAAAACCCGCCAAATGTAATAGCGATAAAGTAGATTTCCTCGCTAAAGATACATGATTTGCGAGGAACCGTTTCCTCGTGAAAAGAATCAATTAGCGAGGAAATAATAGTTTCCTCATTATTAGTTTGGCGGGAAAAAAATCAGCCAATTTTAAGCTGACAAATTTAAGGCTTCATCGCTAAAAGTTTTTGTTTTTACGAGGAACCGTTTCCTCATTAAAAAAAACTTATTAGTGAGGAAATTATAATTTCCTCACTATTAATTTGGCGGAAAAATTTGCAACACCCGCCAAATTCATTAACGACAAATTAAAGGTTTCCTCGCTAAAATTTTTGTTTTACGAGGAAATAATAGTTTTCTTATTATTAGTTTGGCAGAAAAATGTGCAAAACTCGCCAATTTCAATAGCAACAAATTTAAAGCTTCCTCACTAAAAGTTTTTGTTTTACGAGGAACCGTTTTATCGTAAAAAAGAACCTATTAGCGAGGAAATTATAGTTTCCTCATTATTAATTTGGCTGAAAAATGTGCAACACCCGCCAAATTCATTGACGACAAATTGAAGGTTTCCTCACTAAATTTTTTTTGTTTTACTAGGAACCCTTTCCTCGATAAAAGAATCAATTAGTGAGGAAATAAAAGTTTCCTCGTTATTAGTTTGGCGGGAAATTATTTTAGCCTACACGCAAAACAGAGGAAATTTCCCCCCATTTATTTTCGCGAAAATTGAACAAACAAAACAAAAACCCCAAATCCGCCACGTTCTCTCTCTCACACACACACATCAAAAAAACCCTAGACCCCCGTCGTTGCACCTTCCCCCTGCCACCAGCCCTAAACTTGCCGCCCCTGGAGGTCGCACTGCCCTCTCTTTCTCTCACACATCAAAAACACCCCGTCGAACACTAGTAGAAAAATTAACAAACTAGACGGAACAAACTAGACATAATTTTTTTTCCGTCTAGTTTGAGGTAAACTAGACGGAAAACATTCCGTCTAGTTTGTTCCGTCTAGTTTGAATCAGTCTAGACAAAAATTTTCGTCTAGATTGACAAACTAGATGGTTTTTTATTTTATTTTTAAAATGATACTCAACTTAAGACGGAATTTCCATCTAGGTTGTATCAACCTGGACGGAAATTCCGGCTAGGTTGCCTAACAAAATTTACGGAGCCTTTTTTTTGGGAAAATGTTTTAAGGCCCCAAAATAAAAAATTTGTTGTGACTAGCCCCCTATATTATTTTTTGGGTGACAAAGCCACTAATACATAAAGTACTTGTGTTTCAGCCCCTATTTACCTTTCCAACACACCACAGTGAGAAAATTTTTTACAAATTCCAAAATGACCCTTAACTGATTACCCAACAACTGCCAGTCCTCCCCCCTCTCTCTCTTTACTCTCTTCTCAGGCTCAAACCTCAGCAAAATTGGGTGGAGGCGGCGACGAGAAGAAGCCGTCACCGTCGGTGAACGTGTGAGGAGGAAGCTCCTCTTCTTGCCACTGTCGGTGAACATCTTGCGAGCAGAGTCGGTCCTGGGTTTTCTAAGGCCAAGGGCAAATTTTATTAAGTGTGCCTCTTTATACAAATTAAACAAACAAATAAATAAATTATCAATTAATTAATTTTATTAAAATTATAAGATTTTACAAAAGACAAGGGAAAACACTTTAGGACCTCATTAAAACCTTGGTTGGGGAAAACCCAATGGGACAAAACCTCAAACGAAGGAAAAAGAGTACCCCGAATTATAAACATTGCATTAAAAAACGAAAACTACATATTTGAGTCTACATGCTTCCTCCCAAATCTCCATAAGCATTTCTTGATTTGATCAAACTTCTTTTCATCCTCCACAATTAATCGAAGCAAAGAATCATCACATGTACCTACAAATAGGTTCATCACTATTTTCATTTTCATCTAGATCACCAATTTCTTCATTCACATCATTCTCATTTTCTACTAATTCTTCCAATTGAATTGGGCGTTCATATTCATTTGGTAAATCATCTTCATCTAAATTTTCAAGTGAAGCATTGGTTTGTTTAACAAAATATTTATTCAAAGATCCTCTTAAACTTTGAGCAATTTCATCATTTTTTTTCTTTTTGTCTCTTGAGATTTTCCGGAAAGTTGTTTCTTAGGAAACATTTTTTAATTTTTATAATAAACACTTAACAAAGAACAAAGAACAATAAAACCTGGATTTTGAGCATATGTTCTTCCACTTGAAACTTCCAATCCAATTATAAAGATCAAGATTCAAGAATCCCAGCCAATGTTTCTGTTGAATCAAATAATACATAAGAAAAAGTTAAAAAGATATGTATTACAATTTACAAATTTATACATCTTATCTTAAAAAAAGTACCTTCAAAGAAATCGCTTCCTAAAGCTCGATAACCTCAGAAAATGGCGGTCTCCTTCTCCTCCCCCCTATTCACGGTTCACCTCCCCTCTCCTCAGACACAAACCCAAACCGTTCGTCCTCCAACTTGTTGAAACCGTTCGTCCTCGCCCCTCGCTCCTCTTTCTCCGACCCATTCGTCCTCCAAGGCTCCAACTTGCAAAAACCCTAGAAAACCCAGGACCATCTCTGGCCGAAACCCTAGAAGACACCCTCCCCCAAACGGCCAAACCCTACCCTACCTTAACTCTAGTCTCTCAGAGAACACTCATCTGAAATTCTGAATCCCTTCTTTGAGTTCTCTCCAAACCCTGGCCCGATCCCAGGCTCAAGCAGTCAAGCTCGAGGCCTTTCGATTCACCGACGCCTCCTACCTCAAACAATCCCAAATCACCACCTTTCAGTCAGAGCCGGAATTCTCTCAAGATATTTAATAAAAAATAATAGTTAGTGACAGACAGCTTGCTATGAGTTGTAATCGGGTGCATTTGTGGGGCCTGTGAATACGAATGGATGGTCCTGGTGTCTGGATGGAAATTTTAGTGCCCCCTCAGCTATGGGCCCCGGGCTGTAGCCCTGGTGGCCCTAGGTCAGGGCCGGCCCTGCTTGCGAGAAGAGGTGGGCATGGATGTAAGGGCGTAGGCCTTAATCAGGACAGAGCCGGCCCTGGGCATAGGCAGGAGAGGCCTCCGCCTGGGGCCCCCAAAAAACAGGGGCCCCCAATGCTCCCTCAAACTGTCAAACATGAAAAAACTCAGCCATGACCGCTGAAAATTCCACCATCAACAAGAAATCAAGCTTCTCTTCAGGTTTCAAAGACCCCCTTTTTCTTTTCATCAATCATTCAGTCATGCACCCTAACTGTTTTCCAAATTGCTCAGGTAAAGGAGCAAGGTTGTCCCTCATCCTTGCTCTTGTAATTGGGCTTGGGAGTTGGCCATTCTATGTCGCAATCCAACCTGAAAAGCCCAAACTTTGCGGGTCGGATGGCAGCCCACCCGTTACGGCTTTGAGGATCCGATTAAGGGATGGCCGGTTCTTGGCCTACTCATAAAGTGGGGTGGATAAGGAGTTGGCGAAGTACAAGATTGTGTTTTGTCATGCGTTTGTGAGTTCTAGGCTCCATGGGCTTCAACCGTCGCATGTGAGTTTCTGTATCTTTTTGTAGTATATTTATGCAATCCTTTTTTTTTGTTTATATGAATTGAGTTCATCAGTAATTTGGGTGATGTTTATTCATGAGAGGGAAGTGATTTTAGGTGTAGTTGTGATAGGTAGGTGAGATTTTAAGGGCGTTATATTGGAGGTGCAAGTGGTTTTGAAGAAGTAGACATTGATTGGGACACGAACAATTGTGCCCAATACATTATGATATTGGCTTTTTGGTATGTTCCCCTTACATTTTAATAATTTAAAATTAGTCTTTCAGATAATTGAAATTCCTAGAAGCCCCCCAAGTTCTTATATCCTGCTGCCTCCACTCTTGATTAGAGGTGTTACTTAGAAACACCTTGTAAGAATTGGGGACATAGCATTCAACTTCTATTGGTTCATTGATCTTGTTTTGGGAATGAGAGTGTTAGGGTGTGATTTTCCACAGTGGGTATGACTTCGAGTATTTGCTCAAGATTCTGACTTGCCAGAGTCTGCCGGATTCGCAAACTGGGTTCTTTATGCTAATCAAGGTTTATTTCCCGACGATTTATGATATAAAGCATTTGATGACGTTCTGTAACAGTTTGCATGGAGGACTTAATAAGCTTGCCGAGTTGCTTGATGTGGAGAGGGTGGGGATTTGCCACCAAGCCAGGAGTGATAGCTTGCTGACTTCTTGCACATTTAGGAAGCTGAAGGAGAGTTTCTTTAATAGAAACACTGAGAAATATGTCGGTATTTTGTATAGCCTTGGTGTTGAAAAATTGACAGAACACCCATTAGTATGAGTTCTTGGAAAAAAACCTTATATTAATAAGAAGCTAATGAAAAAAAAAGTTTGTTGTTTGAGTATATATCTTTATGTTTGGTTTATTTGTATTTTAGTTGTTTGGCATTGGTAGTGTCGGTAAATTTTACCTTGGATCAATGGCTATGACTTTTTCTTTGATGGGTTTATTTCTGGTGATGCAGTATCTAACTATTCTGTTAGCCCATACCAATGAGATTTTTACCTCTAACTATTCTGGTGATGCAGTATCTAACTTTTTCTTTGAGATTTTTTACCTTTAACTAATAAAAATCCTCATGTAAGTAATCTTAAATTTATTATTATTTTTGCTCAAGTAGCTGTGATTTATGATTCATGGTTTAAATTGATTTTGATTTTGTTTTTGTGAATAATTTCAGAATGATGGTTGTAGATTTTGGGAGTGGTTTGACAACCCCGTGTATAGTGTGGAAACTCAATTATTTCCACTTATGAGAGAAGAACAAGAATTTAAGTTGAAGAAACAAGAACATGAAGCTTGTTATTGCTTGGATGAGGTTGTGAAAATGAGGAGAAGAAATGAATTTTATGGGTGAGCTTACAGAAGAAAAGATGAAGTAGATGTTAAATTTTATAATGAGACTGATTGTACTCTTTATTCTTCTGTAGTTTCTCAAGAATTGCTTGTAACGTGTCATGTTTCATTGTTCAGTTGGTTATACTATGTGTACTCTTTATACTTATGTAGTTTCTTCAGAAATGCTTGTAACGTATCATGTTTCATTATTCAGTTGATTATGCTATGTGCTCTTGTGGTTTGGTTGTACTTAGATCAAAAATTAATGAAATATATTTTGTCTATTTAGTGATCAATTTTGGTTATTGCGATTATCTGTGAAATGTATTTTGGCTGTCATGTGAATATGTACAAGTTCATTCAAATAGAACTTGATGTGCATAATAAACTGAAGATTATATATAAATTATGTGTATCAAAACATAAATGTTATGATACATAATATGTACATAATCCTATGGTTATTGTGTACATAATATATACAGATTATATAATATTCAAGTTAGGATACACTATTAAATCCCATAACATGTTAACTCTCCTCATAACATGTTAACTTTTCAGTTGAACATGTTAATTTTCTTCGTAACATGTTACATTTCACCATAATATGTTAACTTTCTTCATAACATGTTAACTTTTAGCTGAACATGTTAACTTTCATCATAATATGTTAACATTTACTATTACATGTTAACTTTCACCATAATAAATAAACTTTCTTTGTAACATGTTAACTCTCAGCTGAACATATTAACTTTCATCATATTATGATGAAAGTTAACATATTCAACTGATAGTTAGCGTGGAGAGCTGAAATATAACATGTTCATAATAAAGTTAACATATGCAGATGAAAGTTAACACATACAGTTGACAGTTAACATGTTCACTTTAAAGTCTATAGAATTTGAAAGTCAACGTGTACAGTTGAAATAAAACATGTTCATCTGAGTAAGCACATCGTGAAAAAAATAAAGGGCTTTAAGCCACATTTTTAGTACAGGCAATAACTTTTAAATTAAGTATCTCTAATCATTACACATCACTCCTGCTTTAGTATCAATTTATGAAGAGGAAAAGCAAGGAAAAAAACCATTTAAGTTCTTAAAAATATGGATTAATCATAGCAATTTCCTTCTCTTGTCTCTCCATTTGAGATTTGTTTCAGACCTTCAAGAAAAGTCCTCAAAGATGTTATAGATGAATGAATTAACATGTATATCTGACAAGTTAACATATACATCTGACAAGTTAACATATTATGATAAACGTTAACATGTTCAGTTAAAAATTAACATGTTCTGAAGAAAGTTGACATATTATGGTGAAAGTTAACATATAATAGTGAATGTTAACATATTATAATGAAAGTTAACATATAATAGTAAATGTTAACATATTATGACGAAAGTTAACATAAAACAGCAAAAGTTAACATTCAGTATGAAAAGTTAACATACTAGAAGGAAAGTTAACACGTTCAGTTAAAAGTCAACATATAACTATTATTTGGTACACAATCTGTATATATTATGTACATAATCTGTATATATTATGTACATAATCTGTATATATTATGTACATAATCTGTATATATTATGTACATAATCTGTATATATTATGTACACAATAACCTCAAGGTTATGTACATATTATGTACCATTATTTAAATGAACTTGTACATATTCACATGACAGTCACAATACATTTTACATACAATCAACATAAGTTATACCAAAATTGATCACCAAATAGACAATACATTTCATTAAAATTTGATCTAAATACAACCAAACTATAAGAACACATAGTATAATCAACTGAACAATGAAACATAACACGTTACAAGCAATTCTGGAGAAACTACACAAGAATAAAGAGTACGAACAGTTCTATTATAAAAATTAACATCTTCTTCTTTCTGAATCAGACTACGCCAATTTCTCAAGTAAGACTGATGCGTTAGCCAATTCCTTAACCGACAAAGCCTCCTCATTATTCACCATAATAAGAGAGCACCAAACCCACACAAATCGTATCAATTCCAATTTCAGCATCGCCTATTCTCCCAATCACCCTCCCCATCTCCTTAAACGATCCTAATCGTCCATGTCATTGAATCACTACTCTATACTCAAACCCCGATGGCTTAAACCACAAGTGACCCATTTCATCAAGCACCTTCTTTACATCCTCAACCATACCCACCAAGCTCAATCCTCTGATCATACACTCAAACACACTTTTCCCAACAAAACTCATATTTTAATCCAACCACAATATTCCAAAATAAATTTTTTCAATCCTCTACCTGACGCAACAACAACGAGGTCACAAGTAGAGGGCTACCCTGAGTAGGAGACGATGGTGAAGCGTTGGCCGGCGATTGAGAGGTGGGTGGCGAAGGAGCGGGTGACATAGGAGAGGGGCTGATCAAAATAGAGGACGGCAGTGGAGGACCACCACTAGGAGAGGGAGGGGGAGGGGTGAGATTGAGAGGAGGAGGGAGAAGGGGAGGAGATTGAAAGGAGGGGGAGGGGGAGGAAATTGAGAGGAGATTGAGAGGAGGGGAGGAAATTGAGAGGAGATTGAGAGGAGGGGAGGAAATTGAGAGGAGATTGAGAGGAGGAGGGGGAGGGGGAGGAGATTGAGAGGAGGAGGAGAGGAGATTGAGAGGAGGAGGGGGAGGAGATTGAGATTGAGAGGAGGAGGAGGGGGAGGAGAAAACCACAGAGAAGAAGAAGAAGATAAGGAAGGGGTATTTTCAGAATGTTTTTGGATGTATTCATTGGAGAGTGTTAAAAGGGGGCTGGACATGTTTTTTAGGATTTTAAGGGTTAAAGAGTAAAGGAAAAAGTTGGTGGGCTGAGCCACATCTACATCTGTATCTTTTTTTAGGGCCTTGAAACATTTTTTTTCCTTTTTTTTTCCATTTCCCCGCTATTTTTTCATTTCCCTCCTCTTTTTGTTCCGCTCTGGCCCTCTCCATCCAAAAACCCCCAAATCTCTCTCTCTCTCTCTCTCTCTCTCTCTCTCTCTCTCTCTCTCTCTCTTCTCTCATCTCAAAACCTTCGGATCTCGCTCAACCCAGACGGATCCCTCTCCCGCCACGCCGAGATCCCCCTCACCCCCCCTCCACCTCCACTGTCGGCGCCGCCCTCTCCAGTTGAGCTTTATGGATTCCAAAACCCTAATTTGAAGAGATAGTCCTTACCTCTAACGAAAATTTGTTTTTCTTTTCTTTTTTCGTTAGATTTAAGCCGGTGGAAGATCTGAAGACGGCGCTTAAGGGATCGCCGACGAGCATCAAGGACGAGAGGTGTAAGGTTTGGGGTTCTTTTTGATCTGGTTTCAGAAATTAGGAAAAGAAGAGGACGGGACCGCGAGGACGGTGTCCGTATGCCCCAACAGCATAGTCTCCTCCTTCAACGTCGAGTTCTCCGCCGTCGCCGTCGCCGCTGCCGAAGCCGCCGCGTTCGCCGACGATGGGGAAGCGGAAAGGGCATCTTCGAGGGCCAGCGATGAGGACGAGAATGGGAACTCGAGGAAGAAGCCGAGGTTGTCAAAGGAGCAGTCTGCGTTCTTGGAGGAGAGCTTTAAAGAGCATAATACTCTCAACCCGGTAAGCTTACCGTCGTTTAGAAAAGAAACTTTTGTTTTTATCATTTTTTTTATTTGTAGAATTTGAGTTGTTAATAGGATTGGGTATTTTGTGTTGCAGAAGCAGAAGGTTGCTCTTGCTAAGCAGCTTAATCTGAGGCCAAGGCAAGTGGAAGTTTGGTTTCAAAATAGAAGAGCAAGGTATAAATTACTTTTTATTTAGTTTTTTTTCTCTTTTGAGTGCATTTTAATATTTTATGATGATTATTAGTGTTAAGTCACAGAAGTTTCTTTGCTTGCCTGTCTTTTTTCCTCTCACCACGCAAGCTAGTCTGTTTGATTTTTTCCTATTAATATTTGTTTTTTAAGTATTTAAATAATGATGTTTTGAAAGTGTAAAGAAATCTAGATAGATTTGGTTCCAATAGGTTAATCACAGCGGTATGCATTATAACCTATTTTATTGTTCTATCTCAGTAAAAGCATAAGCTTTTGACTCCTTTAGATAGATGGCTTCTTTTCTTTCTTGCAGCTACTTCTTATGAAGAGAGGAGGACGGGTCATATATGGAGGCGCGCTTGGTACAAACTCACAAATTATGATGAACTACTTTCAGGTTGTGTTCCTTTATGCATTTTATGTACCACTGATCTGACTATGACTTTTAGGTTAGTAGAAAGAGTATCCATGCAATGCTGCCCGTGCTATTTTTTCCTTCATCAAATAATACAGCTCAATACGAAATGTTAGGATGCAAACATTTCTATAAACTGAATGCTGTTGACTTCCCATTGTGTTTCATTTTGTAAACCAACTGCACAGAACTTAGGACCGTTTGACTTTAGAGCTCATTCAAATCAATCCATATGTCCTTGAATCATCTGTTTGTTGTGTGTGCTTTTTTTTGGGGAGGGGGGATGAATGATCTCTGTTTAAATAATAAATATTTATTAAACTATTATAAATAGAAATAATCCATTTTTTATTTTATGCCGTCTAGCTCATGGCTATTGAAAATACATTCATTTTACAACCTTTTGATGTACATGTAACAACCCATAACAATACATAACTTTTCTAATATTGCGGACTGAGTTATTTATTCAATTTCAGGCTATGAGAAAATCCTTCTGTCACTTAGTTTTATTTGATGAGAAAATTAATATGCAATTATATTTCTAATCCAGGGGATGCATGGGATCCCTCCCATTACTGATGGATATAATCCAGCAACTTGGATGCTGGAAATCAACACACCAGCTTGTGAAAAGAGGCTTGATACGGACTTTGCTACCGTGTACAAAAACTCAGATCAATTCGGATGATTCTAATATTTGGTTTGATTACTTGAGATCAATTCGTAATAATTCTCATTCATGAACTTAAAGAAAGCTTGTAGCTGTAATTCACAGATTGTTACTCTTTGTCAGGGAAGTTGAAGCTCTTATTCATCAACTAAGTAGACCTGTTAATGGTACACAGCCACTGAGATTCTCTTCTAAGTTTTCACAAGATACTCTATCTCAATTTAGAATATGTTATTGGAAGCAAAATCTTGTATACCGGAGAAGTCCAAAGTACAATGTTGTCCGATTGTTCTTTACTACTATCTCTGCTTTAATACTTGGCTCAGTGTTCTGGAATGTTGGTTCGAGAAGGTAATTTGTAATTTTTTTTTCTCATGCATCTAAGGTCAAACCCAAATTACCTACATCCATAATTCTCTAGCCTTGTTGAAATAATGCTGAATTCTTTCTGATTGTCTTATTTATCTTTGTGAAGTTTTTTTTGTTATGGTTAGGGATATGTACTCATTAATAAAAGTACATGTTGCAGTTTTTAATCAAATAAACCTTTTATTCGACTGGCATCCCTTCTAATATTTGAAGCACAGATCATAATGTCTTTGCCTCCAGAGAGAAGGCTCTAATTCCAACTGTTATGCAATCTCTTGACACACTTTTAGTCATTTTTTATATGCACCACATGGATTCTTTTACGACCATTTCATAGGAAGTATTTGGTTATGTCAAAGTCAAATCAGGCTAGATTATAAGGGTTGTGGTTTTGGCCCTAAACCACCACCATTAATGTTCTCTCGTTCTTCGATGAGTGAAATGTCTGAAAAGAATAAAGAGTTGCAAGAACAGCTTCAAAAGACCCAACAACTTGTAGGAACTCAACAACAAAGGGTACATTTGAAGAAGTTTAAATTAGTATTTTGAATCTCCGGAGCCTCAACAAACTCTTTCTCATCGCACTCATCATCTTCGAATTATCTCAGCAAGGAGAGTTACCCTTGGTTTCTTCATCCATACAATTCTTCACTAAGCTTCACTTTGATTCATCGGAGGACAATTTGTCAATCGATGAGTGTTATAAGATCTTTCTTATTTTCTATAGTTAAGCTATGTTTGTTGGTTTGTTTCAAACATGTTTTTTATGGGGTACTCAAGTCGGTGTGAATTGAGGGTTTACGACGTACTCAAGCCAATGTTAATTGAGGGTTGATACTAGCTAAGGGTAGGTGTTACTCATTATGAAGAGTTAGGTTAGATGATTGGTTTCGATTAGATTTTGGAGTGCAGTCTTTATAAACCTATTAAATCTGGTCGTGATTCAGGTAAATTATTAGCATAGTAAAGAAGCCCGTTCATGAGAAGGAAGGGGGAAATATAATTGTTATCCGAACCACTATAAGATTTTGCATGTCTTTGGTTAGTTATTTTTTATTTTTATTTTATCTATTTCTCTGCTTATTCTATCTTTTAGCGAAAAATGGTAGCAACTCTATTTACCCCTCCCCCCTCTCCGGCTTGCATCTCAGATCCAACAAAGTCGTCTCACAAAGAGATGCTTTTGATGTCATTAAAAGAGGATCAAAAGATATACATCAAAAAAATCTCAAGATCTTTATATTGAAGGTTTAGCATCAAAATAAACCATGCACAATTATGTTGTCGGTCTAGCCCAAATTGCGACCCATATGAGGTTGGTAGACCTTGGTTAATTCAATCCTAATAGTAAAAGGATTCGCGGGACCTATTCGCAATTGAATAGGATTGGAAGTCCTTGAGATAAAATTCCATTATTAAAGGAATGTGGCTGCACGTGATTTTTGATATACCATATATTAATTGGGACCAAAAAATAGAGAATCAAGAATTGATTCTCAAGCACGGATTTCCAGGCAACGAGAGAGAGGGAGAGAGAAATAGAGGAGAGAACAAGTTGATTTTTAAATTATTCGGTTGTCCAATTGTAGTGATTTAAAAATAATTTTTTTTAGAATGACGACGCCGTCAAGGGTACGATGTTGCTTTGTCCGCAAGTGTTGGAGATTTGAGTTGAGACGAGTTTTGGAATTTTGGTATTCTAGAGGTAACATTGTATTTCTCTTGTGATTTAATATTTAGGGTTGGGTGTAGCTTTGAGGATTTAAACTCTTAATTCATAGTGGAATATTTCTCTCTAGATTACCCGTAGACATAGCATGATTTACCGAACCACGTTAAATATTAGTGTTTGCTTGCATATGGTATTTTCGTTAGTATCATTATTTATTTCTTGTGATTAATTTTGTAGACAATCTTCATAATATTCCTAACAAGTGGTGCTAGAGCTCTAGCTTGAAGCATGTCTTGGATGGAAAAGCTGAAATTTTTTGGCACAATGATAAAATTGAATGGTTCTAATTGGCAAGTATGGACGTCCAAGATGGAGAATATTCTTTATTGTATGGATTTACAAGATCCTATTGAGGGAAAAAGTCAAGCCAGAAAAGATGTCTGACAAAAAGTGGGAGAAACAATACAAGAAAGTGATCGGTTAATTCAAATGTGGATTGATGTTAGTGTATTTTATCATATATCAAGCGAGATTAATGATAAGTCTCTATAGAAGAAGCTTGAGGATCTCTAGGAGCGAAAGACCACAGGAAACAAGGCGTTCATTATGAGGCAGTTGATGAACTTGAAGTTTAAGGAAGGAAGCAACATAATATAGCACTTGAATGAATTCAAGAGTTTGGTTGATTAGTTAGCTACCATGAATATAATTCTTGATGATGAGCTGCAGACTTTATTGCTACTGGGTTCTTTGCTAGACAGTTAGAAGATATTGGTGGTAATAGTTAGCGACGTAGCTCTATATGGTGTATTATCGATAATTATGATTACTAGTAGTTTATTTAATGAGGAGACTCAAAGGAAGTCTACCACCACAGATAACACACATGCATTTGTCATGAGAATAGGTGCAGACACAAGTACAAGGACCAGTTTCAGAGATCGGGCAAACCAACATCTAAAATTAGAGGTTGCTTTTATTGTGAGAAGCTAGGTCATATTAAAAAGAATTATTAGGTATAGAAGAAAGAGCAAGTTGAGATCAAAGATGAGAAGAAAGATTAGAAGAAGAAAATAGACAGTTATACTACAACTACCTTGTCTAAGACCGATTTTATTCTCACTTTCAGAGAAGAAGACTGCTTGCATGTTACAGGTCAGAATTCTAAGTGGATAATGAATATAGGAGCTACATGTCATGCTAGCTCAAATCGGGACCTTTTCACTTAGTACAGAGTATGTGACTTTGGTAATGTGAAGATGTGCATAATATTCTCAATTTGCGGCTCAACTTGATTTATGATCTTTACTTTGGACCAAATGAAATATGATATTCACTTTGGTGGAGGAAAATGCAAATTACCAAAGGCTCACTTGTGATGGATAGAGGAAGTATATGTTATAATTTATACAAGACTCAAGCGAAGGCTTCATATAATTCTTAGAGCATGGCTCAAGGCGGTGAATCTCTCAGTTTGTCGCATAGGAAGTTCGGACATATGTGTGAGATTGGGTTGCAAGTATTGGCAAAGAAGTCTCTCATTCTTTTTCCCAAATGTTTGTCACTCACCCCTTATGATTATTGTTTGTTTGGTAAATAACATAGAGTTTTTTTTAGCATGCCTTCTAAGAGAAGAGATAATATTCTGGATTTGATTTATTCTGATGTTTATGGTCCTATCGAGATGGAGTCCTTAGGTGGCAATAATGTGACACCCCCACTTTAGTCCCACATGGACTAGTGTGAATAAATATTAATAGTTTAAATAGAGAAAATGTCAAGACCTAAAGAATAACTAGTGCTAGTATTTTGGCAGTGGATTTAAGCCAACATCGAGTTGTTTTTAGTGGGTCCCACAACTTGCACACGCCAACGGGCCCGTGACCCCGGAGCGTGATAAAATGGTATCAGAGCAGTTGCTAGCCAGAAGTGTGAAGCTAAGTGCTATACGGGGCTAAGTGATATACCACGTGGATACGGTGAGAGACACCTCTAGAGCCCGTAGGAGTTATCTTTAGAGTCCACATTACGTGGCAGTGACACTGGGATGTGCTAATTGTCATGTCGAGATAATGAGGACGTCATCTTTGTAAGGTGGGGTGATTGTGACATCCCCACTTTAGTCCCACACAGACTAGTATGAAGAAATGTTAGTAGTTTAAATAGAAAAAAATCCAATGCCCAAAGAACAACTAGTGCTAGCATTTTAGCGGTGAATTTAAGCCAACATCAAATTGTTCTTGGGGGGTCCTACGACTTGCACGCGCCAACGGATCCGTGGGCCAGAGGCGTGATAAACAAGTACTTAACATTTATTGATGATGCATCATGAAAGATGTTAGTCTTCATGTTAAGGATAAAGGATTAGGTATTTTCAGTCTTCCAGCCGTTTAATGCC